ATAATTCTCGTAAGATCTCTGTCTGCTTTGACTGATACGTTAGAAAAGATACTTGTTACAATTACTGTGTGTCGCAATGTTGCATGAATAATTGTATTATAATTAAAGGCGGACGAGTTCTTTGTAAAACATTCTCTGTATAAACTTTTGTCTACGATTGTTCAACAATATATTGTTTAAATTGTTGTATAGGGTACAGACAGTGTTCGATTTTGCAACAACAGTGAAAGGAAAAAAGATGCTTTATAAACATTCCGAGGGATCCGTTGATTAAATGTTTAATTTATTTGGCTAAGACGTTAATAAACACACCACACACGATTATTGTTAAAGAACGGTTTTTTAATAAAAATTATAAATAAACGTTGTTACAGTTGTATGAATGCGGATGGCTGCGTTTGATGACGATGTAAACGTTAACATTCATTTGTACACATAGAAAATTAGAAAACGTTAATAGCGATTATCATGATTTCTCATTGGTATAATTAAGTTTAAGTGTTATATTCTCCGCCCTTTTTAGCACAGAAATTCCTTGAAAATTCTCAGCTTGATAGAGACAGAGAAACTCATGAAAAACCCGGTTTCCGTTCGGAACCTCATTAATTTCGTCACGAGAGAATTAATTATGAATATTCATCGAAATATTTTCGTTTTTCAGAGGTGCCCGGCCACGAAGTGCTGTTTCAAAACAGCACTGGTAGAATAGTAGATTTAGTTAGCGATTAATAAAGCTAATTAAATTCGTGAGACCGGAAAACACGGAACAGAGCCATGGGGAAACAGAACAGCAAATTGAAACCAGAAGTTCTTGAAGACCTCAAGGCGAACACAGAATTCTCAGGTACGAAATACTTTTAATATAGCCATCACGATCTTATTACGTCACTTAACTATATTTATCGTTCTTGTTCAAAGATGCCGAGATCCACGAATGGTACAAAGGATTTTTGAAGGACTGTCCAAGTGGACACCTCAGCGTAGAGGAATTCAAGAAAATCTACGGGAATTTCTTCCCCTATGGTGATGCTTCTAAGGTACAACAACGAGATGCTTGCCAAAAAAAATAAAAAATATTTTAACGCTCCTATCTTAATTTTCACTTTTGGAGAAGTTTAATTCCGTCCCAATTTCATCCCAAGACCTTACTTTAAATTTTATTTAAACATCGTGCAATGTTTGATCGTATTATTATGGTAGAACATCGTGTTTCAAAGTTTGCAGAACACGTGTTCAGAACATTCGACGCTAACGGTGACGGGACAATCGATTTCCGGGAATTTTTATGTGCACTCAGCGTCACGTCTCGCGGCAGAGTGGAACAGAAATTGAAGTGGGCATTCAGCATGTACGATCTAGATGGGAACGGATACATCTCGCGGCAGGAAATGTTGGAAATCGTTACGGTAAGCACGAGATATTACATACACTACAATTTCATTTCTTCAA